CTCACAATCGGCTTCTATTGGCCGTGTATTTATACGAGATACCGCCACTTCCCGCTCGCGAAATCCGCGAGCGGATTTTTTCGCCCCTCGGGCGCCTGTATTGAACGCGGTGTAAAGGGAGACGCTCCGCGTTCTTATATGACTTGTCACTCTGCGCTGATAAATGATATCCATTAGAGGACCCCCTCCTTGTGTTTTATCGTTATTCTTGAATGGTGCGGGCAGACGGTGTGTCTTTCCGTAAAAATTGCTTGTCTTTTGTTACAACCTCGGAGGAGGTTTCGCGAAGAAGAAAAAAAGAAATTAATGATTTGCGACTTTCCCGGTGGAAAACTCTCGTTCACGGAGGCAAACTTTTCGTTAGAGCATTTTTTTTCGATATAGGTTAAAAAATCGGATTGAGAAATCTCCACCTCTCTCGAGTAATACATAGGGAAAAAGTTTTAGGGGATATCCCCTAAAATTGTGGTGCTACCCTCATTTGGTGGATGATTTGCGCATTTCCTTATAATTGTGGTACTACCGTAACTCAAATTGAGTTAGTACCGAACCTAATTTGTTGGGGTAGCATAATTTGGGTTAGTAACCTAATTTATTGGGGTACTACCACAATCAATTGGAAACGTCGGTATCATCCAACAACCCCTTCCTCTTCTTTATTGTGTAGGTTGCGATCGGTTTCTTGCATTTTTGTGAATAGGTCAGAATTTTAATTATTTTTTCTCTCGACAGTACGTCATTTTAAAACTGTTAAAATCTTCATCGTAAACACAATTGGACGTATTTCTGTCAAACGGAACTATATGCATTATGACGTGAGCCCTGTTATGCATGTATTCTTATAGGTCTCAGGATTCATGTCTTAGCGCACATAGTTCCGCTTGATAGAACTACGTCTAATTGAAGAATGGCTCTTCGAGGTTTATTGGACGCGATTTTGCAACATGCTAGTGTACTTACGGCGTTTTTCCTTAGCACAGCAGTGGAGTCCGTGTTCAGTTGCCCGGTCGCCCAGATGTCGCTCGCCGTGAGGAGGGAAAGGGGGAGAGGTCGGACAACGTCACTCGCTTCATGTTGTATTGTAACACTCAATTTGCAATCATACCAGGGTAAACATTTACATATCCGCCCATCATCGGCGCAGCAGTGGTCCCCCGACCTCGCGTAATTAATTTGGCCCGGACCGAAGCCAACCGAGAGCACGGACTTCCCGTTTGAAATCCGATGCGTGTTCAGGAAGTCAAGCCATCGCCACGCCACGCCGTTTGTCAGATCTTGACCCCTAATTGGACTTCATTTTGTCACGAGGAACTACAGTTTCTAGCTCATAGATTAAAACACTCATCTGCATTAGGAAAATAATGGCACATATGTTTCTTTCTTAAATGAGCCAGATATTATAGTTCATGTTTGCAAAGTTAAGTACAACAGAGAATTTGCAGGTGTCTGAAATTTGATGAATTTCGTGTTTAAGTGGAAACTACTGAGTGAACACAATTATGACAAAATAACCTAATCTATTAAAATACGCGTGTTTAAATGGGAAATGCCGCCGCCAGATGACGTCACTAGACGGTGCATTTTCTCACGTGTAAAGCTATTATTATACTATTTCCCATATCAGAAATTTTTTTTAAAAAATACTGCGGAATTGGCTCTTTAAGCACTTTCAGATGAAGCTATAAAAAATGTGCATGCAAGGTCTCCATTGTTAAACATTTTCTGTATATTCATCAATTTAATTCACGTTTACGAGCCGACACATAGGTTCTACCATCCGGACCAATCTCATTGTTTCATTCTCATCTTATTTTCGGGCCTCTCCTCCTTGTAGATGTTGCTGAAACGACGCGCGACCCCTAATCTCCTTACAAAGGTACTTCATATAATACTGGAGCGCCTCGAAAATGACGGAGCATACTGCCGTTCCGAGAAAGAACGTCGTATGAACATCCGAGAGTTGCCAAATTTCTCCGGATAAAACGTGTATTTTTGAGGGAAGTTATGCCTATTTCCCCTTAAAATTTTCAGATATTTTAGATTAAATTGCGAACAAAATTGTCTGCGATATTTGACGAAAAATATAAACAATTTTCGCAGTAAATTTGTTTTTTTATTGAAGGAAATATGGCAACGTTTGAAGGCTCATACGGCGTTCTTCCTTAGCGCGGCGGCATATTGATCAGATTGGAGCCGTTAGTGCCGGCGACCTAATCCGTCTCATTGGATATTAATACAGGGGATTCGTCGTGTGGAGTTGTGCGAGGGCGGTAATTATCAGCCGGGAATTAAGGAGTTACGAGTTTCATAGCCGGGTTGGCGCTCCGGCGGCCGGGGGCCCGCGGCGAAGGAATGTAAATCCGGTCGCGGAGCAATAATAACAAAGGAATCCGAGAGTGTTAACAGCGCACACTCGCTCCGCTCCCGGATTAGCGGAGACGCGCCCCGCCCGGGACCCAGGACCGGGACCGGGACCCGGGAGCTTATTCTTATCTCCGGCGACGGCGATACCACTGTGAGAAATCAATTTCAGCCCAAGGAAATGTTGCACGCCTCGACTCCGATTACTCCGGCTCGTAGCTCGAATTTAAATTAAAACGCGGCCCGCCTCAATCTCCCGTGTAACGTCCCCTTGACGAACCGCTCAAAATTCGCCGTTGCGAAGTTTCATTCTTGCCGAAAATCGTAAATTTTCACCTGAAGAATTTCATGAAATTTGATGAAAATCTCGCAAGTCGGGTCCCGTTGACGAACCGCTCAAAATTCATAGTTGCGAAGTTTCATTCTTGGCGATAATCGTAAAATTTCACGAAGAATTTCATGAAGACTTCGTGAAAAATTTCATGAAATTTGATGAAAATCTCCCGTATAACGTCCCGTTGACGAGCCGCTCAAAATTCGCCGTTGCGAAGTTTCATTCTTGGCGAAAATCGTAAAATTTCACGTAAAGAATTTCATGAAATTCGATGAAAATGTCGCGTGTTGGGTCCCGTTGACGAACCGGTCGAGATTTCATTGTTAGCTGAAATCGTGAAATTGCAGGTGGAGAATTTCATGGAATTTGATGGAAATATCGCGCGTAAGGTTCCGTTGACGAACCGCTCAAGATTCACGGTTGCAAAATGTTATTGGTAGCTGAAATCGCAAAATTTCACGTGAAGAATTTCATGAAATTTGATGAAAATTTAATGTGTAAGGTCCTGTTGACGAACCGCTCAAGATTCACCGTTGGGAAGTTGCATTCTTGGCTGAAATCGTCAAATTTCATGTGAAGAATTTAATGATATTTAATGAAAATTTCGAGTGTGAGGTTCCGTTGGCGAACCGATCAAAAATCACGGTTGCTAAGTTTCATTGTCGGCTAAAATCGTAAAATTTCACGTGGAGAATTTCATGAAATTTGATGGAAAGCTCGGTTCCGTTGGAGAGCCGCTCAAGATTTACAGTTGCAAAATTTGGTGCTCTCAAAGTTGAGGCTGTAAAGGAGGGGATATCCCACGCTATCCTGAGAGTCCACCTTTACATCGAGACAATCTCTCCATGCAAAGATAGGCAGCAAATACATTAGCAGGGTTGCCGTGTTTTCAGTTTTAGAGTCCCCAAATAAAGTGGCAGCCCTGTCAATGTATGTGCTCCCTATCTATGCATGGAGAGTTTGTCTTGATGCAGAGGTGGACTCTCAGGATAGCGTGGGATATCCCCTCCATTTTGGCTTCAACTTGAGAGCTTTTTTTTGAGCTTGGGAGTTAATCTCAGAGAAAACCAGTGTCACCATCGTGTTTCTCGCGAACTTTTACAAATAAATCAATAATCGAATCGCAAATTCCTCACACATGCAATATCTCCATTCATTCAAAACGTGAAATTTTGCAACCCTGTGAGCGCCTCCCCAAAACGCGGCAACTTCGGGAGGAAGCGGGTACTGCACGGGCGGCGAGGGCAGCGGGGGATTTAGATGATTAAATCGAGAGTTAATAGCTTTAAACTGTGATTATGAGTCCTCTGTAATTTTATTTCACCCACCCGAGCTAATTAAAATTGAACCCTTCGTATTTTATTAATTAGCTCGAATACTACTTTGTAATTGAATATTTTTAGGTGATTATTTTTTATTGCGCTCACGAAACTGCGGAAATGCCTGTGTCGAAGTTGTTTTCCCGCGGCCTTCTTCTCGCAGCTAAGAATCTGTGGGTTGATTATTGAATTTGATAGACATAAAAGACAAAGGGAAAATGGAGCAATCCTATCGGTGGAAGCGTGTGGTTGCAACGGATAAATGAGGTGAGTACTGCCGTGCTTGGGAAGAACGCCGTATGAACATTCGAGAGTTGCCAAATTTCCTTCGATAAAATGTTTATTTTTAAGTAAAATCATGATTATTTTTCCTCGAAATTTTCTGATGTTCCAGAACAAATTACAAACAAAATTATCTGAGAAATTGGCAGAAAAATATTCAAAAAATTACCGGGAAATTAGTGATTTGCCAGGGGAAATTTGGCAACGTCCGAGGGCTCATACGGCGTTTTTCCTAAGCACAGCAGAGTAATAGACTAAGTAACGGTAATCCTCGAGAGATCCTGTGGTTGGTCAATCATTTCCTCATTTAGTTTAATAGCAGCACTCGTTTCAACCAATCAGATTCCTCAGTTTTTTATTGTCTTCTTTGTCTTTCGCTTCGTCTATCAATTTCAATAATCAATCCCCAGGAGTGACATTTGGAGTGGTTTCGACTTCGGATTTTGCATGTTTTCCAAACAACCGAGCGATGTGGGTACGGAGCGGCATTTACTCTTTTTATAGAGTGAACTTCGATTTTAAGAACGCGATTTTACCTCTTGTTGATATAGCTTTTCAGTAATTTTGGACGCTTGTCTCGGAAAGATTCTTGAAAACTTACCAGTTGCTGACTATTTATCAGCACAACGTCTAATTCATGATATTTATAATTGAAAATTATAATAAAAATTTCAATACCTAATATTTTCAAATTTGTTCTGATTTCAGATGGAAACACTTTTTTCACCCTGTCAGAAGTGGTAAGTTTTACCTCCTACCTCGTGCATGTGTCAGAATTCAATTGCATACTGTAATACTTGTTGTGACTGAAATTCGAGTTTCTCGTCATAATATATCTCCTGATACCAAAGCACACAAGAATCGCTTAGACAGGAGCCGAGATAGCATTCACTCAAAAAACCTAATAAGTGACGAAAATCCATGGAAAACGTCGATAAGCACAATTTGAAGAGTTTCCTTGTTAAAATAATAATAAAACGTAATTCCGGAACGTTGGAATAAATGTTGTTTTTGCTGTAGGATATGATCGAGTTTTGTCATTCTCATCGGTCACAAAGCTCGGGAACCGATCGTAACAGAGTCAGGTTGGGTCAAGTTAGGTCACGCAACTAAACAAACTCAACGGCAATGCGGAAAGTATCACCCAAATTGAAGGCGCCCCGCAGAATTGCTGAGTATGTACACTCTAGGTATTTCCAAAACCTCGATCAACAGAACTTCCTAGTCTCTTTATCTCTTTCCGCACTCTGTATGCAGCCATACCGTTAAAAGAATAATTTGATGTTGCGAAAATATCATCTGATGAAATACAGATTTTCCGAGAAACGTGTGTAATTAAAAAAAAAAAAAAAAAAAATATTATCAATTATTTAGCGTGTTTTTTAGCCTTGGTTGCTCGTTTTCGTTTTCAAGGTTAAATTGTAAATGTAATTATAAGTTTAAACTTCTTCATTAAAATTTGAACCACTAAATTTAATTATAATTTTGAAAATGATTAGTTTGACTTAATCAAATATTAAAAATAATTTAAGTTTAATTTTATTTTCTGTTTTTTAGTTGAATCACTCGGGCCATTTTCGTGTATTATTGTTAATTAGCGTACTGATACAATTTTTGGGAAAATAAAATCGTGATTGTTCTTGGATGTAAGGGTCAATGGTAATGCAAGGGTGTCATTTTTGAAGCGGGAAGCTTAAAAAAATATTTGTCTCACGCAGATTGTGAAGTTACAAGCATATTTAAGACATACCTGATGCGCTCATTGTGATTTTTGAGTTATTTGTCATAAGAAACAATTCTTATTTTTGCTCTAGCTGAATTTTGCAACAGGCCCATAGATAGACAAAGAAGACAATTAAGGAAATGGATCGATATTATCGGTTGAAACTGTTGGATGGACTAAGGGAGGGACTTATTGTAGGGTCCTTTGGTGGTTGCCGTTAGTTAGTCTACCATTATTTCCCTTGTTCATTGCAACCACCCGCTTTGTCTCTTTTGTCCATAGCTTTGTCTATCAATTTCAATAACCAGTTTGATGAGGCAGGCTGTATCACCCAGAATCGATTTTTTATAATGTATTTAGGCGGGAGGAAAGCATTATTATCAGCTCTCGAGAATCGAGCAGTTTTAAGGGCAGTGGCGTGGCGTGCTTTGCGATTTATAGGCTGATCTGTCATTTAAACCTATAGAAAAGGATCGATAAATAGGGCAAACCTTAACAATCGATTCTTCACCACAGCTTCAAATTGGGAAATATCGATAATCGATCATTCACTCGTCGCCACTCTGCCGTGCCAAGGAAGAATGCCGTATGAGCATTCGAGGGTTGCCAAATTTCCGCCGATGAAATGTTTATTTTTGAGTAAAGATATGTATATTTTTCCCTGAAGTTTTTAGAATCTTTAGGTGAAATTGCGAACAAAATCATCTGAAAAAATGGAAGGAAAATTTTCAGAAGTTTACCAGGAAATTCGTGATTTATCAAAGGAAATTTGGCAACGCCTTAAGGATCATACGGCGTTCTTGCTTAGGACGACAGCACTATTTAACGCCACGAGAGTTTACGGGCGTGAAAAAGAGAGCTTATCGGTCACACTATGAGAATGTTGCGGTCCTCGGAGAGGACTCGTATTGAATGCAAAAATATTGCATCACACAGCATCCATCGAACTCGAAAAATTTACATGACAATATTTTCCAGATCCACCGAGCTACCCCATTGTAAAGCAAAGGCGCCTTTCGTTCGGATAGGATTTCAGCCCCCTTCGTCGGCGGTGAAAAGGCCGTGCGGTTCGCCTGCGAGGAAAAATAGGGCTTTCTATAAAAATAGCATAAAAGAGGCGCGCAAGGAAAAGGTGTCCTCGAGATTAGATTCAATACGTCGCTTGGCTGACAAAACGGCATAACTGCGATTTGAGATGAACCCTAGAAAGCATTGAGTTATATGGACGATAGGGTGCATTGCAATGTGGAGTTACGTCGTTATGATAGAAGGGCGACGAATATACCTTTTCATACCTTTAGCATGCACCTCGAGGCTCAGTAACGAGCGTGGAATTTTACTCCACGATATCAATTCCCTGTTTTCTAGACAAAAAAACGTAAGTTCAATTTAACGTTCCGGAAAAGTCTTTTTGCAAAAACAACAAAAAACCCTCATAGCTCCCATAGCTTTAATTTCTTAGAATGAATACACAATGTTAGTAGATATAAGATTGAATAGATCACAAATGAGAGCCTGGGAGTCGTTGATTTTCATCAATTTCAATTAATTTTTGTTTCCTGGTCGAAAAAGGGTTCGTAACCACCTCGAGTCGTCCCAAGTACTTTGGTTGTATTGAAGCTTAGGTTCCCTTTTCATTGTGTTTGTTTTCATAAAAATAAATAATTTATTGGAGACAGTTTGGCTACGTTCGAATCTTCATACGGCGTTTGTACGGCAGTGGCGAGGCGTATATAATTGATTATCGATATTTCCCCATTTGAAGGTATAGTAAAGAATCGATTTTTAAGGTTTTCGTTGCAAACATCCTGTTTATCGATCCTTTTCCATAGGTTTTAATGGCAGATCATTCGATACATCGCAAAGCACTGTTGTACGGAGCCGTGGTCGAGTGCTCGAATGAGAGATGAGAATTGATGCCCTCACGCGGACGATGCGAAAGCCACTTATACAACTCCCGAGTGAGCCAGAAAATACGCTTTGACATCGGTCACGGCGGGCTTTCAGAAAGGAAAGTTTCGACAAGAATTCGGCCGAATAAATGTTTATTGACTGGTAAAAACTTGGTCATGTTATACTAGTCCGAGGAACTCTATTGAAGTGCCAACACGAATATAGCACTGGGCAAAACTCCACGAACTCTCAATCGCCCTCAAGAGAGTATTGTTCTTGCGTGCCACGCAACACCTTTAAAGATAATTTTGGTGTGAAATGAAACACCTTTGTCAAAAAGTGGGTGAGTTTCGCGTATTGGATAATAGTGTTTTAAAGGTTTGATTCTCTGATTGAGAGAAACGTAGTGGAGTGTCAATTGGACGCATTTCTATCAAACGGAACTATGTGCTTTAAGACATGAGCCTTGAGAACCATAAGAATACACGTATAACAGGGGTCACGTTATAATGCGCATAGTTCCGTTTGATAGAGGTAAGTCCAATTATAGAGCAGATTCCTCCAGTAAGGTTAAACTACCGGTTAATAACCTAAATTTTAACTGTAAACAGGTTCAATACCTATTTAGAAGATAAGTTCTAAAGCAAGATGAATTAAACTCAAAAATTATAGATCAATAAAATCTTTATAATTTTTAAATAGAGGAAATATTAATTTTTACACTCATTCAAGTCTTAACGGAGTAGAATTACTGGAAAGTAATTTTAGATACATTTTTGCTGTACGAGAAATACGTGTTTGAAGTTCCGAAATTACATGGATCCTTATGGCGGATGGAAATTTCAAACTGACTTTTGCTGAAACCTACAAAGCGACAAAAATTCATGGAAAACGTCGATATGAACGGTTTTATGAGTTCCCTTGTAAAAATAATAATACAAATAAAACGTAATTCTGGAACGTTGGAATAAATGTTGTCTTTGCTGTAAGATATGATCGAGTTCAGTCATTCTGATTGGGCTCGAAGCTCGGGAACTGATCGTAACAGAGTCAGGTTTGGTCAAGTTAGGTCACGCAACTAAACAAACTCAACGTCAATGCGGAAAGTATCACTCGAATTGAAGGCGCTTCAATGCAGAGCTGAGTTTTGCCGCATGCTGAGTTTGTGCACACTATTTCTAGAATATAATTAAATAAAATTTATATAATTGTTAAATAGAGAAAATATTAATTCTTACTCCCATTCAAGTCTTAACGGAGTAAAATGACTGGAAAGTAATTTTAGATAAGTTTTTGTTATTACGAGAAATGTGTGTTTGAAGTTCCGACATTACTTGGATCCACACGGCAAATGAAAAAAAATTGTGAGTTGGGTGCGAATTTTCCACAAAACATGTATCAAGACTGGTTTCACTTTAAAATACTACTGCTACTAGTACACTACTACTAGCACTAGTTACTACTACCTACTATTAATAGTACTAGGTACCAGTACTAGTTGTCTACCAGTTCACTGTTTAATGTCTCGATGTTTTAAAAAACTGCACTTATTCGCCTTGTTCTCCAAGGCCCCTCATTTACACAAAAATCCCTAATTTTCCCCGAGAAGGGACACAAAAAAGCCTTTTCATGATCGATTCTTTCTTTTCAGCTCCATTAAAACATTGCAAAGGTCCCAGTATATAAATAAAATTTCATTTGAGTGCGAAAAAAGAAGAGGGAATTTCAGTAGGTCTCTATGCGAGGGCAAAGTGTTGATGACCGCTGAATGAACGCATGCACATTGTGCTGCCAGCCAGCATTTTCAAAGTTGATACCGTATTAAAGCAGCGGTCTATTTTGAGCAACAGTTTGCTCATTAATAAATTCCCCTGAAAAAATGGAGCTTTAAGCTATACAATGCGATTAATCGTCCTGTTAATCCACCGCTCCTCATTTACCCCGATTTTGACATTGCTTCTATTCATCACGGATCCGACCCAGCCGTAGAATAGTGGCCTCCGTAAATCGAGATTTATCGACAGTTCTGCCTCGGGGAAACGCCATATGAACCTCCAGGCGTTGCAAAATTTCCTCTGATAAAACACTAATTTCCTGGTGAACTTATGACTATTTTCTTCCCAA